ATAAATGAAAATAAAATTTATCAATAAATTTTTATCTAATTTAATAAAGTTTAATAAATAAGACATAATAAATATGTTTAATTTAATTTTTTATTTTAATTTTATTATTATGTATATAAATTTTTTCATTTTGAAAAGTGTCCATATACTTTTGATCGCCTACTGTAGTGTAGAATTCAAAGTTCAGCCACTCAGTATATAACTTTTACAACTTTCAGGAATTTGGTAGGATTGTGAAAAAAAAGCTTTTCAGAAGTAAAATTATTTTTGATAAGAACTAAATAACAAATTTTTCTTCAGCAAATGATTGGCAAGTGAGAAATGTATCAATTCTCCATATTGCTACATCAGGAAATTTTTTTAGGCGTAATTTAATGTAATATTTCGGAGGTGGTGTAAAATTTCGAAATATTACACTAAAAATATAATATTACAAAAGTTTATGTTCTTAAATTTGAATAATTATAGTAATTTAAGAATATCTCGCTATCTACTGATCCAATTAAAATGATTTATAGCTCATTGGAATCAGCTCATCAAGTCAAATCGAATGGTAGTAAATTCGCATTTTTACAGTTGATAGAACGCTCTATAGTATGCAATAAAGTTTTAAATTAATAGAAAGTCATCTATTAAACGTAAAGATACGATTTTACTACCATTCAATTTGACTTGATGAGCTGATTCCAATGAGCTATAAATCGTCTTAATTGGATCAGTAGATAGCGAGATATTCTTAAATTACTATAATTATTCAAATTTAAGAGCGTAAACTTTTGTAATATTATGTTTTTAGTGTAATATTTCAAAATTTTACACCACCTCCAAAATATTACACTAAAGTACGCCTAAACAAATTTCCAGATGTAAACAATTTATTTTATGATTATATATATTTATTTAATAAAGGATTTTTTTTTATTACTACGGCTATACTTCTCCGCTAATTAATTATGTCGTATTTCAGCGAACGGACCAATTCACTATTTATTATAAAATTACTATGAATTAATTACGTCTGTCAAAATACATTACGTCTGTCAAAATAAATTTAATTAGTATTTTGTCATTTTGACGAAAAGTATAACTACGGCGATATATCGCTAGTCCTCAAATGTCATGTGTTTAGACTATTATCATGTGATTAGTTTATTGTTATTTTTATTAAAGCAAACTAGCAAAGCAATAACTATACAAATTAATTATTAACAATTATTAACATATTACTATTATCTTTCTATTGATACATTCTTTCGATTAATACATTTTTTTTATTGATACATTATTTCTATTCATGTATTCTAATTAATTATTCCTGACGTTATTAAATTTCTTGTTCCTTCATCCAAGGCAAATGAGTTAAAGTATTATCTTCATCCCAACTACGAAATATAAGTCAACGAGAATCAATTTCCTTTTGATTATCAAGCCAATTAGAAAGTTTAGCTGCATCATTTAATAATGATTCCTTTGTAAGTCGAAATCTTTGAATAGTGTTGTAAAGTTCTCGTGAATAAAGTGGGTGGATTGGATATTTCTGCTCAAGGAATTTTCTTTGTGCTATAGCTCCAAACTTACAAGAAACTGTCATAAATTTGATATCTTCGATCATTGAATCAGTAAATTTTCTAGAATCTTCAAATTCAACTATTGATACATCTAAAGAATAATTATGTTGTTCAACTATTTTATTAATAATCACATATTTCTCAGGGTTTTTCAATTTTGGGCATGATGCATTGACAAACGGACAACAAATTTTTTTTGTAACAGTGTCTCTAGTAGAATTTGATTCATAGATACGACTGTGAGAACATATATATGTGCAATGACAGATGATACCTTCCAAACGTACTATACGATCCTTAATAATCTGAAAACCCTGCTGCTTGGCCCACATGATAATAAAATTTTCACAAGCTTCCTATGATTTAAACTTCCTTCCCGAATACAATAATGTATGGTGATTTTCATTAGATAAGATCATTTCATTACTTATATTATTGCAATCATCTAAAAAAAAAAATAATTAATTAGTAAATTATAAAGTCCACATTACTAATACTAACCCACTATCCTAATCTAACTCTAACCCTAATCCAAACCCTAATACAAACCCTAATCCAAATCCTAATCCAAACCCTAATCCAACATACCCTAACTCTAACTCTAACCCTAACCCTAAGCTATACGTATCATGTGTAAATTCTGAGGTTTGAGTGTCTTCGCTAGACTCTTCTTTCATATTTTCCATAAAGTAATAAATAAAGTAGTTTACATTCGATATTAATGAAAAAAAAAGTATGTTTATGTTCAATATTAGTGAAAAAATAGTGTTTTACGTTCAAATATTAATGAAAGTAATAGCTAAAATGAAAACATTTTGAGAGAGAGAGAGAGAAGCCGTGGGAAATACTGATTTACTTGATAATCGAAAGTTTATTAAAAGTATAATTCACGTGATTATAGTTTATTTTACATCATTACAATAAAATAATTACTAAAATCCATATATATTACATAATTAAACTAATCAAATCACATGACAAATGGGTATAGCGATAAATCGCATATGCGATAAATCATAATTTTCTTTAATAAAATCATTTTATTTTAGTTAAAATAAATAAATTTTTATATAAAAAAATATATTTTATATAAAATAATAGTTTTAATGCGAAAAATATTTTAAGCTTTATAAATAATATATAAAAATTTAATATCAGATATTGAATAATATTTAGTTCTTTTAAAAAGATATTTAGAAAATAAAAAAAAAAAGTAAAAAAAAAAAATATTAATTTGTATTAAAATATTATTATACCTTAATTTTGTTTTGTTATTTTTTTTTTTTTAAATGTTGAATCATGTACCATTTTATTAGAATATATTTGGATTACATAATAATCACAAATATTCTATGAATGATACTTCCAGCTTCAGGCC